TAATATTTATATTTATATTAAATATTGAAGGTATGAAGAGCAAGAGAAGGTATGGTTGCAGTCTCCTTTCGTTGTACAGAGCTGGTTTGACCTTGTTTTCGCAACTCTGTGAAGTATTCATATGAGATTTGTCAAAGAAAAAAAAACATGGCAATAGAGAACACATACTTCTTGGTAAGTTTTGATGAAAAATGCATGTATACAAATATCTTTGGAAATCCAGGACCGAGAGGAGGATATTCTGTAATCACAGCGGAACTTCAAGATGTCACCATTGCATAGTCATTATTACTGCTCTCAGCCAGCTGTGATCTTTCGTCGCCATTTTTCAAGCATATATGCATATATATGATACATATTATAGCATTAATGTATGCTATAATATGATATAATAAACATTATTCTAGTGTAAAATAATGTAATTTCATATTAAAATGTTTTCATCAACTCAAATGCTCTTTCTCGCTCAACTGCTAATACTTTTCGCATTTACGTATAGTTTCGAGACTACCAGTAAATCAGTAATATGAGATGTTTAAGGTGGTATGGGAAAAGGCCTGGCCTTCCTTGAAATTCACATCTGCTTTTGGGAAAGCAAGGCTCTGTGAAATGCAATGGAAGCACAAGCGCTATTAATATTATTGTGGGAAAATTATACAAACAGTCCTTCATCACCTTAAACGAAATAGGGTTAATACATCTTTGCCATTAACTCTAGACGTACCATCCATTTTGGAATTTACATTTTTAGTGGAAAAATATCGTCGGATTGATGCACATTTTCAGTTTTATGCACAATGAAACGAATTTATTCGCCACCAACTACGAATGTCCTCCCAGATTGATTCGGCTACCGACTTGTGTCGAGTCGAGTTTGGTCGAGACGAGCCTGATTTGGCTTTAAGTACTAAACTCGAATTAGGGTTGCAATTTGGCCTCCTCGAATCGCGATTTGGGTGCTGAATACGCTCCATTTGGACGATGTCACACGAGCACAAGTGAAGTTCATTGTTTCGTCGGCAACATCATTCGACCATGGAAGCTGGGACGGTATTCGGTCACAGATTAAAATCACACATTTTACTGAATCTATCTTGCTGGATCGGTCGAATAGGGACTAGTTACTTATATTTTGTCTCGACAAGCTTTCGAGATCTATGAGTTATGATGAAGGACTGGTTGTTGAATTTTCCCACATTCCCATCAGTAGAACTGAAGTTTTCGCTGAATTTCACATACAGCCTTGTTTTTTTAAAAGGTGTCCTCATCCAAGCTGAAGTTGGCTGTAGTCTCGACCTCGCCTAAACTGATCTTATCGACACCCCCAGCGGGAGTCGAACCATGACAACGCAGCGTGTAATCTCAATACGTTGACAACTACGCCACATTTCCACGAATGCCCTTGGGTCACAGGATAGATGTGAATCTCAACGAAGGTAAGACATTTTCCCATATCACATTCTTTGGTGTGAGTGTTGATAAGGCAAACTTATATTCGCCATAGTAACCGACAACATTACTCTTTTCGTTTTTGAGTAGGTTGAGTTGTATTATATAACTATTGCTATAGCAAATATAAGTTTGCTTTATCGACACTCTCACCAACGAATGTGATATGGGAAAATGTCTGAGCTTCGTTGAGATTTACATCTATCCTGTAACCCAAAGGCATTCGTGGCAATGTGGCGCTGCCTCTACGAGGCATCCTTGTGCCGTATTTCGATAACGCATCTTCACTAGGACATACCGGCGCCAAATGACCTCGCTGTACGTCTTGAAACTCCACAAGGGATCTACGGGTTTTAGTCAAAAATTGCATGTTCACGAGGACTACTTTACACCAAATAACCGCACTGAACTTCTAAGAGTTATCTTCGCTTCGAATCTCCACAAGGCATCTTTGGGTTGTAGTCGAGCATGGCATCTTCCCGAGGACTTATTTGAGCAGAATTTCAAAGAGGCACCTTTTTCTCATTTCATCGTCTCGAAGAGCCCCACTCCCTTTTACATGTGTCGTCATGGTATTGTGTTGCAGTGCAATACACTAAAATATCTTGTCAAAATCTCGTTTCTACGACAACAACTCGTCTCCGACAGCCTCACTCCGTCGTCCTCCTCGTCACTAGTCGACAAAAAAGTCAGCAAAACATAAACTCTCCTGTACTGATGACGCTATTTTGTAACTTTTCAACGGCCAGTCGTCAGCAAGATCCTTTTTCTTCCGTCTACCTCAACCCGTCTGGACGCATGAACTCCATTCCCTTAAAAGATTGCGAATTCTAACGACAAAATGGATAGTTTTTACCAAAGCTCCTATTCAAGAACTGCTGATGATCTTGAAATTCTACTATCATCGACAAAGCTCAGCTTTTGCTTCAGTAAAACTGGATGTAATCAGAGCTTTCACTTTTTTAAGTAGCGTTAAAGCTAATTTCTGCACTACTGCACTTAAACAAGTTTCGATGACGGTCTCGACGTGAATTGCCGACATAAACTGACATAAAAAATCCCCTTCGGAACCCCTTCTGGAGGTGGCCTATAAAGTAGCCACTAGAAATACCATCAAGTCGGCATTTTCACAAGACTCACAAGACCTCATCGGCACACTTCGTGACCCTGGCTCCTGCAGATAGCGCCCTAGACTCGCTGACCTTTTATCTAAGAACTGGTGACCATCTCAAAATAGCAGATACACACTGACCCACCACCAAATCTGATTTCGCCCGCTTTGAATGTCACCTCTTCCTTGTCACCAACTGGCGCAGCTTGAGCTCGAGCCCCGTTTAGTATGCAGAAAAGAGACTAAACGATGAGCTCAGACCCGCAATCCAACCGGGCCGGGACTAAAAACGCCTTTTCCTGAAACATATTCGCGAGACATATTCGCAAAGCCTTAACCGTCTGAACTTATGCCACCTACAGCCAATTTGGCGGATAAAGTAGCACTTGAGCTCGAGTCCACTTCGAATGAGTTTGAAGAAGAAATTCGAACTGGTCGATTTCAACACAAAACTATGTCGGTTGGCTATAGTGGACAATTCAGGTTGGTACCATGCTTACAGCGATAGTAACGCATTCAACACCAATTAGTTCGAATAAGGTTAAAATAATGATAGTATTAACTGATGACATACAATCCCGATTTTCACCTAAATCAAAGGAAGCTGTTTCCGAGAGAGCTGATCAAGAGGAATCTTCCATCGTTTTCGGGCACGATCCACTTTCGTGAGTCTCGTTATTCCTCATGTTCATTTAGAAAAAGTGAGCTCAACAACTGCAAATAAAAAGATATTTTCTAAAAACCAACATTGCTTGGCGAATGTTTTCAATCAATCACGGCTATACGACTGCGAAAAGGCGGCTAGCC